ACAGGGACTGGCACTGCTGGCCTTGGGGACCTCAGGGGACCCCGCAGCCCCCCTGTGCCCCCTCCCCACCGGTCTCTGCCTCACCAGGGCCCATCACTGGGCTGTCAGGCCCGTGCTGGGGCACTCACCCCACAGGAGCAGTGCCACCTTCCCGGCCATCCCGGTGTCCCCAGCCATGTGGACTGGCTGTCCTTGGCTGCTGTGGCCACCGCTCCCCTGGCTGGCGGCTCTTCGGATGAAGGGGAAGGAAGCGAGGTCACGTCTCGCCCCCACATGGGGGTGGCCCTTGGTGGAGGCAGGGTGGCCACAAGCTGGGCACAGGCTGTGGGCAGGGTGGGGACAGGGTGGGGACAAGGCTGGATTGCACGCAGTGGGACATGGGGTCCCAGGAGTGGGGGGCTCAGGGGGTTTGGGGAGCCAGGGATGGGTGTCCAGGGGAATGGGGGATCCTGTGGGAAGAGGGGGGGACCTAAAGGAAATAAGGTTCTGGGGAAAGGGGATTTCAGGGGATGGAATAAACAGCAGAGTGGCAGAGTGTTCCTTGGGAATGGGCTCCTGGACCCTGGAGATCCTGTGGAATGTGAGTGCTGGGATTCGTAGTTCCTGGCAAGGTGGCACACAAGGATTGGGGGTCCCATGATTTGATTTCCTGAGGATTGGAAATCCCAGGGATGGGCAGTGGCTGAATGGAGCCATGCTTCTCAGCTCCTTCCTTGGGTGCCTCATATTTTGGGGTGACCCCAAGCCCAGCACAGCCCCCACAGGCCTGGGTGTCACCCCAGGCAGATTCTGAGGGGCTCTGGGTCTGTGGAGCTGCTGCAGAAGTGAGAATTCTGTGGGGGAAATGGCCTGGCTGTGGTTTGCTCAGCCCTGCAAGAAGCACAAAACCCAAAGGGAGCCCAAGCAGTGGCTCTGCGAGGGCCTTTGATGGTTTTCAGGGCAGGGCTGGCTGGAAACCCCCCTGCAGGGGCAGCTGAGAGGGAACCAGTCCGGAAATGCAGCAATTGATCATTTTGTCTCTTGCAGCAAGGTGCTGAGATAGCTCCAAAAACCCTGCAAAGACAATAACGTTTTGCACAAGAACCTGACCAGGTCCCTCCTCCTTGCTGTCTCAAACCTGCAGCCCCGTGGAACATCCTGGCAAGAATATTTGGGTTCTGGCTCGGCTGCCCTACAAGAGGGAATTGTGTGGAAACATCGAGCAATGTCTGTGTGCTGCGGCCGTGGTGGGGCTGTGGGGAGTGACCCTGTCTGGATTCCAGGTGTCCCCAGAGCTGCTCCATCCCTGCCCTCCTCACCTGCACAGGGCACGGGGAATAGACAGGGCTCTGCCCCAGCCCTGTCCCCAGGGTCGCCAGGCGGACAGGGCCTTCCTGGGTCCCATGTTAACACTGGAGCAGTGGATACTTCTAATTAAGTACTGATATGGAAATGTTAATTAGCTAATTGCTCTGTTTGTTTTCTCTAAACCACCTGGGGATCACCTACCCCCCAGCCCCCGCCGACCCACACTGCCATTCCAGGGCTACGATGCAAATAGAGGAACCTGTGAAATTATTGGAGGGGGTTTTGGGGATAAAGACACCACTAAATGGAAAACTGAACACAGTAGAGGGGGCTGGACCGGTGCGCTGGCTGGGGAAAGGGAAACTCATCCCTGATCAACGTTTGACCTGTCAGCATCACCTACAGAAGTTTGGACTGGAGTGGGCTGTGAGAAGCAGAAACAAAGAGGTGGATTTTCCTGGTGTTACCAGGAGGAAAGGAGGAGGAAGAGCTGCTGATCAGGATCTCAGCAACAGACTGCACATCTCTTCACCCTTCGGCTACCAGTGTGCCACGAAGACTCCAGGGACAGACTCTGCATGCCTTCTCCCCATTCGGCTACTTGGAAAAAGCTACAACAGCGGGGGCGAGCTCTGTGTCGAGACCCCTGCCCAGCTGATCTTTATTAATAAAGAGCTGAACATTAATAAAGGTATAAGCTGGGTTCATTTCAATTTGGGGGCTCGTCCGGGATAGCCACACCTGAAGAGGAGCTCCGGACAGCAGGACAGCTCAACCACCGGCTTCGAGGGACCCTCGGGATTTGCTGGCTACCTCCGGAGCATAGGATCAGCGTGAGACGAGCAACGCAGAGGAGCAACGCGGAGAAGCAACGCAGAGGAGCAACATGGAGAAGCATCACAGAGGAGTGACGGATCGGTAAGAAAAACTGGGAGACAAGAGAGTGAGCGAGCACGTTTCCAGACTCCTGTGAAGGGGCCAGCCGGGAATGGGGGGAAGTGAGTGGAACAGAGGAGTGATGAGGCATCTCCTTAGAGGTAAAGCAGGCCCTCCTCTGAGCTTGGGAGGTTCTCTAGGGGTAAAGTAAGTTCCTGGCAGTCAGGACAAGGGGAATGCCCAGAGCAGGGCAGGGGGGATGTCCCTGGCAGGTGGAGCAGGATGTCCTGGCAGGCAGAGAGCATGTCCTCAGCAGGCAGGATGGGATAACAGGGCAGGTGGGCTTCTGCCCACTGCCGGTGGTGGTGCCGGGACCGATTGGTGCCGGTGAGTTTGCAAAAGGAGCGATTTCCCCTCCTCCCTCCCTCCGAGGCCGCCATCGGCCCTGAGGGGACCGAGCTCGAGCGGGGCGCCCCCTGCTGGCCGGGAGCGCTCCCTGCAGCGCCCCCTGCTGGCCGTGGCCATAACTGCACCAAACACAAACAAAGAGCCCTGAGTGGGAGGGAAAATTCTGGGTTTGTGTTCTTTGTTCTTTGTTCTGTTCTGGTTGATAAATTTCCCAGTAAAGAGCTGCTATTTCTTTTCGTAAATTTTTGCATGGAAACCCCGTCAGTTTTGACACTAAAGTTTAAAGATGGATCTTCTTATTCCAGCAGGGTTCCCACTTTCCTTGGCAGGCATATCTCTTGTAAACCAAGAGGCATGATCACTCCTGGATTTCAGTGTGGATGGGACAGGCAGCTCAAGAGGAGACAGGGTCAGGGACTTGGCCACCTCATGATCTGCCTCTTAAGCCATTTGGGCCACCAAGGGCCCCCTCCCCAGCTGGCACTTCTGGTCACCTGGCCACTCAGGAGCAGAGTTTGGTAGAGTGTCACACTGTCCCCAGTGTGCCATGGCTGACAGACTGACAAACAGGGCCCTGTCTCACCAAAGCAAGGCCTGACCCAGCCCTGCCAAACACAGGTGTTCCAAAAGGTCTTGAGATATCAAACTTTTCTTGTCTCTCACACCCCACCCTGTGCCATGGCCTGATCCCAACTGCCCTGGAGAAGGCAGAGGCTGTGGAACCCCCACAGGGCCTTTGTAACATCCTCAGGAGGGGAATACGGTAGAGGAGGGGGTTGGGACAGGGGACAAGAGAATCCAGAGGCTCCTGAAGGCTGCTTTGGCCATCAGAGCAAGGAAGGTCCAGGGCCCTGCCAGGTTCCCCTGGTGGAGGAAACGTGCTGGGGGAAATGCCCGGGGTTTATTCCTTGTCAGGGCTTTCACTGAAAATCCTTCCTTTAGTGACCCTTTGAATTCTGAACCTCGTTGCTATTTCTGTTGGTTTTATTCTCATTGCTGTTTCAGGAAATTGTTCTTCTCTCAGCCCTTTGGGATCTTTGTGCCTCCACGGAGAGGGACAGTTTTTAGTGGCAGCACACACATGTGTGGGTGCCCATGGGTGGGACCCCCAGTGCCCCCCAGTTCCCCCCGGTGTCACAGCACATTCCCGTAGATGTCACCAGGTTCCCCAGGTCGCTCGTGGGGTCCCCGCAGCTCCGCGTAGGTCACCTGGGGATCCTGGAGTGTGGTGGCACGGGGGGACGCTGCGAGAGACACAGGCTGTGACATCTGGGTGGGGTGACACTCGTGGGTGACGTGTCCCTGTGCGTGTGTCCCCCCCGTACTCACCTCCTGCCCTCTCGGGGGTCACAATTTGGGTGTACAGCACCTCCCCCTCCTCTGGGGGGGCCGGGGGATCAGGGGGCGCTCTGAGGGAATAAAGGGGATGTGTGGGAAGGGGAGTTGTGGGGTGGGGGTAAAAGGGACTCATGGCTGGAGACCCCCACTCACCTTTCCTGGTGCTTCCTGGTGGCTGCAGAGGAAAGAGGGGAGGGGTCACTGTGGGGTCCCAGAGCCCTGCCCCTCTTAGGATTCCTGAACCCCCACGGGACCCTCAATTCCCCTCAGGACCCCCAAGCATCCCTGGAGCCCCCCAGAATTCATGAACACCCCCAGTGTCCCCGAACTCAAGAATCCAAAACTCAGCAGGGACAGAGACCCCCTCAAACCACCCCAAGGGTCCCTGAACGAACCCCCAACATCCCTGCAGGACCCTCCAGCACCTCGCCAAACCCAACAGGACACCCAGCCAAGGTCACAGTTCTGGGGCTGTGGGTGCTGCCCTACCGTTCCCAAATTCTGGTGGCCTCTACAGCTCCCTGGGATCCCCGTCCCCCCATTGTCACCCACCCACTCGGTGCCACTGGTGCCAGGCCACAATGACACCCACGAGCAGGACCAGGAACAAAAGGGCCCCACCGACCCCTGCGGCCACTGCAAGAAACAGAGGGGGACACATCAGGATCACCCATCACCCCAGGGGTGCTGCACTCCCTGGTGACCCTGTGTGACCCCACCTGTGTTCCTGTGTCCCCATGGTGTCACCTCCAGGGCCAGCTCTGGGCTGAGTGCATGGAACACACGGTGCCCATCCTGTCCCAGCTGGTTGGTGGCCACGCACTGGTAGGTGCCCGAATGTCCCACCTCGACGTCCCCAAGCTCCAGGAGGGGACCCCGGGCCACCTCCTGCCCGTTGTGCCGCCAGGTGAAGGTGACAGGGGCTGAGCCCACCTGCACCGAGCAGCGCAGGGTCACGGCGTCACCTGCGCGCACCTGGTGTGCCAGGGGACCGGGGGTGATGGTGGCATTGGCCACGGGCACTGCGGGGACACAGACAGGGCTGGCACCGGGCGG